AATGAATGACAATAGCCTCTGACCTCATCTCCCACACTTCCCCCGAGCCCCCCGCGGCAGCCCCAGCCCCAGCCCCAGACTCTCCAGGTCCTGCTTCACCCCTCCTCCCAGGAGACCCCAGCCCCACCCTCACCTCCTGAGTCACTTTCTCCATGAGGTCTAGCCACTGGAAAAAGCACCCCAGTAATTCCCTCCATGACACCGAGCCTGGGGTGCCCCGCACATGGGTGCTCATCCACACATGTGAATGACTGGATGAGTGAATGGATGGATGCATGGAGCCCCGGGGTAAGCTGAGAGCTTGCAGAGCGTGTGGAGAGGCTGGGCAGATCCAGGGCACCTGGGACACGGCTGGGCCAAGCAGAGTGGAGTGGGGGCAGTGATGGCAGTTGGGGGAGGCTTGGGGGCTAACTCAGGAGAGCCGCGGGACGGCTGGCTGTGCCCTGGTCGTGGCGGTCTTGGGGAAAGCAGGGTGCGGGCAGAGGCACGGGGGAATGGGCTGCAGTGAGGGTGAACAGGCTGGGTGATGGGGCAGCTGGGAAGGGCAGGGGCTGCCCAGAGCTGCAGGAAGGGAGACCCTGGCCCAGCATCCCAAGGGTCCCGGGAGGGCCCCTGGGCAGGGCTGCAGTGGACCTTTCGGGGGTGGGTCCTACCTGGGGTTGGCAGGAGACAGACTCCAACTTGGTCTGGGGGTGGGCAGGGCTGGACAGAGGGTCCCGAGCTGGGTCCACACCCCAACCCCCCGGGAGTGTCTCAGCACCTCCTTGGGTGGGGGGGCCCCTCTGTCCCGCCCTGGCCCCCAGGCGCCCCTGAAGGGCCCCGGCTGCCCAGAGGGCACGGTGCGCCCCCATCCAGCTCGCTCTTTCCCAGCCCTCCTCGTTCTTGATCCCACCTCCTCCAGGCAGCCCCTCCCCACCCCCTGGCTGAGCTCTCAGGGAGCCTGGGCAGCATGGCCGCCCCTGGGGACGCCATCCAGGCCCTGGAGGCCACAGCCCAGCACCAGGCCGGCAATGAGTTCCAGAGATGGAGTGAGCGGATTCAGGTACAAGGCCTCGCCCCAACCCAGACAGGGGCTGAGAGCCCTGGGCGCCCACTGAAGGCTGCCCAGTCCCTGGGCACAGCCCACCGCCCTCTCCCCACTGGCCAGACCTGCTGACCGGGGGCTTGGGGATCGGTGGGGTGAGGGGAGGGCCCGGGCAGGCCTCGAGCATCTTGGATGCCAGCCTCACTGCCTCCTGAGGGGCATGAGGACCCTAAAGGTCAGTGGTCAGAGTGGTCTGGGCTGCGGTGCAGGTCTGAGCGGGGGAGGGGGTTTCCAGTGCCCTCTGATGCGGCCTCAATCTTGGGGGCACGGGGAGCCCATCTGCGTGTGCAGGTGGGCACGCAGGTGACAGGTAGCCCTGAGTCCCCATCTGCAGCAACAGCTACAGTTTCCGGAACCTTTCAGAACCTGGTCCACGCCCTTCCCCCTGTCCCCCGAGGCTGGGAAAATTCCCTGGGGTTGACAGACAGCGACGGCATTTTACTCCTCAGTGGGCTCTTGGAAAAGCCCCCCGGGACCCCTCCCATCGCCTGGAGCCCCGTCTTTGAGGATTTGGTCCCTGAGGTGGTCCCAGAGCCTCCCGAGATCCACGACAAGCGGTGGCACAACTGCTGAGAGCTGCGGGCCTTCGGGCTGTCCTCCCTGCGCCCCATCACTGCTCCATGAGTCCTTTACGCTGCTTTCACTCTTTTTCTCTATTTTTTTTTTTTCCTCTTGCTTCTCTGATCGAATGAACTCTGCTGCCCTGTCTTTGAGTTCACAGATCCTCCCTGCGCCCCATCACTGCTCCATGAGTCCTTTACGCTGTCTTCAGTCTTTTTCTCTATTTTTTTTCCTCTTGCTTCTCCGATCGAATGCACTCTGCTGCCCTGTCTTTGAGTTCACAGATCCTCCCTGCGCCCCATCACTGCTCCATGAGTCCTTTACGCTGCTTTCACTCTTTTTCTCTATTTTTCTTTTCCTCTTGCTTCTCGGATCGAATGAACTCTGCTGCCTGTCTTTGAGTTCACAGGTTTCTTTCTTCTGCTTTACCTAGTCCTGCTGTTGAACCTGTATATTGAATCCCACAGGGGCCCAGAGGAGGTGTCCGCACCTGCAGGGTCTTCCTGCTCCCCCTTCCCACCTACCCTGCCCCCTCCCCAGGGCTCGGACCTCCCCTCCCTCCCTCCACCAGGTACCCAAGTGAAAAAGCAGAGGACTCAGAAGAAAATAAATTTAAATGCTTTATTGGGATTTGCGAGCGTTAAAAGTTAAAGACAAAACCCAAGCTGTGGATTCTGCCAGAAATAGCATGTTAGGGGCGAGTGGAGGCAAACACGGCCGCGGGATGGACTGGGCGGCAGGTGACACTCGGTGTTCTGCGCGTGGGGGTCCTCAGATGATGGTGTAGAGACCCAAGAGGGGGTCCCGCTGAAGACAGCTGGGGGGACTTGGGGAAGAGACACGATGGAGGGGGCCACAACCAGGGCGTGGAGGTCGGAAGGGGCCCGGGTCGGATGGCGATGACCCACAGAGAGCTGCTCACTGGGGGACACAGAGGAGCCTCGGCAGACGCCCCCGGAGCCCCCAACCGATCGAGGCAAACGGAACCCTGGGTGGGTGGCGTCTGGCTGAGTGGGCAGGTAATTTGGGGTGCCTCGAAAGCAATTTGGATCTCAGGCCAATCTGTCTGTCTTCTCCGATTAAGACAATTTGGCTTTTTGGGCTTCTGTCCAATGGTCCAAATGGCCCACTCCCTGGGCGCTGGCCGGGGGACCCTCTGTGCCTTGGGTGGGCTGGCACGGACCGCCCCCTGGGTCGTGCCAGCCCCGTCACCGGGGCCCAGAAGCTTTGGGCCTCTAGATTGCTAGTCGGGCTGCCACGCAGGGGGGCTGCACTGGGGGCAGAGGCGGGGGTGAGGTAAACCTCCCAGCCGCCCGGGTCCCTGCCGCAGCCCTAGGCGCTGAGATGGTGGCTGGGTCAGTACCGCCAGACCCAAGGGCCTCGGGGCCCAAGCGACCCCAGCTGTCAGACACACTCGCAGCTCTCCTGCTCTGCAGGGCTCGTGCCCTCCGGACCTCTCCTACTGCCCGGCATCACCCCACCTGGACACCAGGAAGCCCCGCGGAGCTCCGAGCTTCCTGGGGCCAAGACGGGGCACTGAGGAGGCGGGCAAGCTGTCACCGAGGGGTGCGGGGAGGGCTCCCCAGGTGCGCGGAAGGCGGCCACCTGCTCCCGCCCGATGGAGCCCCTTGCTCACGCGTCTGTAGCCCCTTCCCCCCCGGCCGGCTGGGCCGGCCGGGGGCCCCACATTGGTGGCCTCCGAGCACCTTCCTGACACCTGAAGAGACGCCTCCCTGCCCCCTCCTCCGCCCCTCAGGACCCCCGGGGACCAGCCACCGTCCCTGGGGGCCAGGCCAGGCAGCGGCCGTCTCCATTCCCCTCTGACTTCTCGGGGGGCACAGTGGCCAGCACCCCCGCGGAGGCTCCACTCTCCACTCAACCCAAGCGACAGGGACAGGCAAAAATCAAACCAAGGGTGATAAATGGCGGAGGGCAGGACGGCGGCGGGCGCCGCAGAGGTGACCGGTGGTTGGCTTCATGCGTTCCTTGTCCTTGGTCACTGCCCCCCTGTTACACGGGGAGGGGAGTAAGTTTAATTTGGTACATGAGCGCGTAAAAAGCTAAGGAGGGATTGAAAAAAAAAAAAAAAAAAAAAAAGGAAAAAAGCCCCAGGAGAAGCCAATTAAAGGGGGGAAATAGATCAATTGGCGTCAATTTGGGTTCCTGATTCGATCTGTAATTCTGCACGTCTCCTCGTCAGTCCTTCCTCCTGACCGTTTTGTCCAAACCCTTGCTGGACCACTTCCTACCCCAGAGCATCCCCCCCA